GGGGGGGGGTGTTGGGGGGTGATGATATATGTATTATAATCATGCATCGCATACTCTGATAATTTTAAAGAGTTAAGCATAAGTAATATTCTAAAGTGAATGTTAGTAAATTTAGAATTTATTTATGAACTCTGATGAAATCTAAAAGTTAAATGCAAGTAAACTTCTAATGGAGTCCCATCTATCCGTTGCACTCAAGTTCGCTCTTCCTCTTGTTGATTGGGAAAGTTCTCAAGCATCAAGGTGCCTGATCTGCCGTCTTAACTAGCTGAGGGAAGTTATCTTTATCGTTGTTCTTGTTTTTCTTCTATTTTTTTCTATTTTTCTTCCTACTTTATTTTGTATGTGATTTGGTTTTCAGAATTAATTTCACCAACATCAATTCTCCTATTGCAGCTCCGTTCTTTGCGTGCTCCCTCCTCATTCGGCTAGGGCCCTAACTGCTATTTCTTTGTTTTTTTGTAGTTTTTTTTGCAACCTTGTTTTGTTCTTCTGCGGTCTTAGTGTCATATGTTTCCTTTCTTCTTTTATTCATTTTTCATTTTTATTTTTGTGTGATTTTTCAATGTCGTCTGTCTTTAAGAGTAGCGATAATGGCTTTCTTGCTTATAATAATCATTCTATATCATTCAAATATATTTTATCTGGATCTGATGCTTCAGCGGAGTTTTTCAGATATGAAAATTATTATGTTTAGGGGTTTGCCGACATTGTGGATATCTGAGGAAGAAGTTCTTCATCTTGTCAAGCCTTTTGATTATGCTTTAGTTGAGAAATTTTCATTCCGAAGGCCGCGGTTAGATTTGATTAGAAATTTTTTTTCAACCTCATACTGTTAGGTGAGTTTTGTGTCACTATTTTGTATTAAAGAAATGTTATGACTAAGCTTTCTAATGATTTTGGCTATAGTAGGGTTTTTGTGCATAGATCTTACTTCGTTTATGGTTGTTTATGAAGTTGATAAAATAGACTTCTTTTCTTGATTTATAGGAAGAGTCCCTGATCGTCTCCATCTGGATCTCATTTCCAGAATTTCTCCCCCATCTATTTTCTCCTCATATTCTTTATGGTTTGGGATCTATGTTTGCCCGATCACTTCATATGGATAATGCCACTATTTTGGGTTCTAGGTCATCCGTTGTGCGTATTTTGGTGGAGTTGGACATTTCTAGATCCTATCATGATTTTGTTTGGCTTGGTCCTGAAAATTTCAGCTATATTCAAAAGGTGGTTTTAGAATGTTTGCCTAGTTTTTATTTTCAATGTAAAGCTATGGGTCATAGAAATTCTGAATGTGTTAAATTGCATCCTCAGTTGAGGAAGCATGATGTTTCTATTCATCTGGATGTTGGTTATGTTCCAAATGCTGTTGTGGGGTCTGGAGTTTTGGCTTTAAATGAATTGAAAATAAATATTTGCCCTTATTGCAGAGGCTATGATTTTGACTTTAAATGATATGGAAATGGATATTGCTCTTATTCTATTCTTGACGGGGATTCTTAAAAGATGCTTTTGAATGATCCTATCTCTGCTTTTGATAATTTGCATTTAGTTTCTTTGGTTTCTTCTAATATTGCTCCTTCTGAAGTTGTCTATGTTGACAATAATGTTGATTCTCTTTTGATTACTCCCTCTGGTGTTAATTCTTTAGAGAAATTGAATTCTGATGGTGAGAAAATGGAGAAAATTTCTCTTAACTCTAATAGATATATATGATACTCATTTAATTTCTTCTTCTGCTGTTTTGAATGTGTCAAATGAAGATTATGATGTTGTGGGTAAAATTGTGGCATCTAGTTCTAACAATATATTGATTTCTAATTTACCTATTGAAGGAATTGATATTTCTAATAGTGTCCATATTATTGATCTATTGGTTTCTCCCATGCTAGATGTGTGTATTAACTTGGTTGGTGAGCACTATGTTGACCCTGTTGATTAGTCTGATTGGATGGAGGAATTCTCAAGTAATATTCGTTATAATGGGGATATATATGCTACATGTTCTAAAGTTTTTTTAGACGATTTTAATTTGGGTGTGATGAAAATTGATAAAGCTGATTTCTCTATGGGTTCTCGAAAGGAAAAAAAAAGTTCAAAAACTTTTTAAGCTGGCCTTTATGTTGTTGTTGTTGTTCCTTCGTTCTGTTGGCCTGTTGTTTTGTGGGGTTTTGGTTGTGATTGTTCTTTTTTTTTGTGGTTGGTGGGGCCTTAGTTGTCCTGATTCGTGGGCTTTTCTTTTGGTGTTTGGTCTTGATTGGCTTGTGCTATTTTGGGTGTAGTTTTTTACCTCTCCGTACCTCCTATCCTTTGTGGGTTGTTGGGTGTTGTGTGAATGTGTCTCTGGGTCTTCTATCCCATTGGCCAATTTATTTGTAATTTGCTTTGGTATCATCTTGCTCTTTCTGATTATTATGCACTTTATGATGCCTTGGTGGCTTAATTGAGTTGCTCCTTCGCAGTGAGGTGACTTTGGAATTCTGTATTACTGAAAGCTCCTTGCTCATTCCAAAGGTCCTTTTTTTTGGGTTGGCCTTCTCTAAGTTGGCATGCCATTCCTTCTTTACTTTGATTTATATTTATACTAATATATGAAATCATGTGACTCATAAGTTTACTCAAAGGTTATACTTTTTAGAGAAGTAATATGATTCGATTAAAGAGGCTTGCACCCTTAAAATTATATTAATGCTAAGACACCATTGGGTTTGAACAAAAGAAAAAAAAAAAAAGAAGAAGTAATGTATAATGGTAAGTGTTGTGATGATAATTGAATCTCTATGAAAGTCATTTTAAACGTATAATAAGGTTTAAATCAATTAAACTTAAACCTTTGAACATATTTTACAAGACACTTATGCATTATGTTTACAAGTTATTGAGTTTAATTAAAACTCTGTATGTAATAATAAAATTGTTAAATGGAACATTGACTATTTGTGATGACATAGAAGAAAAAGTTCTATAGGCTAGTTAGGCTATAATTTTATAATTCTTTGATTTACAAAATTGAACAAGACTAACAAATAAGTAGCAAGGTGTAAGACAATTCTTCTGACTTGAATTATTACACAGACGTTATTTGTAATACATAATTTTAATTCTTTGATAACAGATTGAAAAGTAAACGGATCTATCATGTTTTCTGAATGAAAGTAAAAAGATTAAATTGTTATATTATTTAAATGTAATAGCTTTGGTAATTATTTTGTTGTGTTGAGCTGAAATTATAGAGAATTTAGATATTCAAAGATATTAATAGGAAAAAAATTTATGTTATTTGTAGTTCTCACAAATGTTTTCTACAATATTTTTATAAAATTATGTTAGCGAATTAATACATATTAATTAAAATATTAATTTTTTTTATATAAAATTTATATTTCTTAAATGTTTACATTTAAAATTTTTTATATTTATATAAATAAAATTCTCATTTATATAATATTACAAAAGAAACTATGATGCATTTTTCGGTTTTAAATACTTTGCATAAAAAGAAAAAATTACGAGTACAATAAAGTTTAACAACTTATATAAAATTAAGTAAGTTTATTTCAAAATAATAAATTTTTTATTATAAATTTAAATAAATAAATTGATGTCACCATCTATAAAAAAAATATGTAGGAGACAGGCCAGACTAAAAAAATTTCCTCTTAATATTAGCACTTCCGTTGAGCCCCTTTCTCTCTCTCACTCTCTCCTCTCTCTCTCTAATCTCTCTCTCGCTCTCAAACAAACAAACAAACAAGATAATAAATAAAGAAATCTTAAACGTTTCTTCTTTCTAATGAATACTCCTTTTTAATTTCCTGGCTTCTTATTCTCTTCTGTCGCCTTCTGCCTAGCTTCTCTCTCCCTACTCGCTCGGAATTCCGCAGTAACTTCTCCTTCATGGCAAATTCCAAATCCATTGCTCCGTCTTTACTGACCAAGGAAGAAGAGAATGTTCAACACCATCATCATCATCATCTTTCAATATTCACTGCAGCTAAGCCTTCTCTTTCTCCTTCCTCTTCCTCTTCCTCTTCTTCCACTGTGGAGGACTTGGCTTTGTCTGCTTCGTCTAAGAAAATTGGAGATATCAATGGAGATGATGAGGCGGAGGGTTATCACACTCCAACATCACCGGAGCATAGAATTCGTCCATCGGTAGATTGCCCGCCTGCACCGAAGAAGCCAATCGAAGGTAGCCAGAGGAGGAAGAGGAAGGTTTCATGGAGTATTAGAAGAGAATGTTTGCATTTGGAGCTTATGAGTTCTTATATGGAAGTTGATGGTGTTTGGCTGATGAAGAAGAGGCTTAGAAGGGAAGAAGAAATTAATTAATGAAAGTTATTAGTTAGTTAGTTTTCTTAGTTTTCTCTACCTTGTAAGTTACATACTTGAGAATGGATTAACAGTTCCATTTTAATCTCTTTTGTTTATGATTCTTTTCTTTTCTCTTTGTTTCTTCCACTTCTGTGAGCATGAAAAAAATGACGTTGATGTTTTTAGTTTCCATTAGATATATATTTGGCTTGTAATTTTCTTAATTATTAGATTAAAGTTGATATCAAAATCTTATTAGCCATAATAGAGCTGATTCAAATCTTGAATAATGTTGAAAAGAGATTTTTTTTTTTTTAACTTTTATTTTGTCTAAATTTATTGGTCGAATAGACCAAGCTAGTTCTCTAATTTATACTTCTTCATATTTTCCTCCATGGCAGAATTTACTCGCCAAATTAAATGAAAATGGCTTCAATTAAGAAAGAAAATTTATTTCCTTGGCTGCCTGAGAAAGAAGGTTCTTTTCCTGCATTGCAAGTAATCAAGTTTTAGCATCTAATCCACAAAGCAAAAAAAAGAGAATAAAATCAGTATTCTTAGCCTTTTGATTAGGCTTGTTTCTCTTTTATCTCTCTTGAAGACAAAATAACCTACAAAAAACTAGATTATATATATATGGGGGAAGACTATCGATCTATGGAAATGAACTGGACTGCTTCTCTTTTACTTTAGTGAAGATTTTTTAATTACTGGTTCTGTTATAAGTTTCTTTTGTCCTCTTTTGCTTTTGATGCTAATTTGCGTTTACAATAAAGGATTAAAGTAAATGAAATAGGATGCAGCACTAGAAACATGCACAGTTGAGCATTTAGTTTTCTTGCCAATTAACCTTTCTCTTAGGGAGTGTTAGAGTGTAGAGTAAAGTTAGATTACATGTATCATAGGTAAAATTCATTTTTAGATAAAAATTTTAAATTTATAAGCGAGATTCAATTTTTTACTAACATGTTTTTGGCATTAATCTGTGAAAATTTTTTTAATTAGAAATTTTTATACTAAAAAATTATTTTAAAAAATAATGAGAAAGTTATTCCAAACGAAATTCCTAAACCTCATAACTTTATATGAAAATTTATCTCAATGAGAACTCTGAATATGGACTGCTACTACCTCTCAAATGGAAGTTTTTTATCATAGAATATCAAATATAAACACTAGGGGCATTACAAATCCTTAGCACATACGTTATCAAAGCTGCGATCTCACTTCAAATGAAAAACTAGTTTGGTAGATCACATCTGCAAGTCAATGAGTGTCAATATTTGACATGACACGAAAACTTGATTTGAACTGAACCCGATTTCAAACGAGTATGATTCGGGTTGACCCGACAACCTGGATTGACCCGAAAAAATGGGTTGCGTAAGCTCTTGCATCGCGTCGCTCCTCCTTCCGCGTGTTGATGTCCGTCATCCACGATCCGCCAGACCGTCCACCCTTCGCCCTCCTTTGTCCTCTCTCAGTCGTCCGTCCTCCGGCCTCAACCATCCGCCCTCCGCGCCCCTTAGCCGTCTGCCCTCCGCCATCCGAGAGCCACGGTCCACTAGCCACACTTCGTCGTCGCTGACTTGGGTTGGTGGGTCGTGTCGGATTGACCAGAATCAGAAGCGGGTCGGGTCCTGGTTGAAAAATCTAACCTGTTTGCAAAAACATGTTCGATTTGATTTGACCCGTTTAGACCCGGGTAAACTCAAATTCGACCCAAATCCGACACGTGACCCAATTTTGACACCCGTATGCAAGTCCAAACATGCTCAAAATAATTTTGACACCCTTAGCAGCAACATATAATATATATTGTGAGAATAAAGTTTTCATTGCTAAATCAAGCAAATAATTTTGGCCAAATCCAAATGCCCAAAACATGACTTCCACTAATGACACGATAGGATAAAAGAATAAAGGTCTAACAATAATTCATGGATGCTACTACATCATTCTCGGCGTAAAATTCGGCAAGAATTTTTGGTTAACTTGTACTTTCTTCAAAGTTAAATATTCTTCATTGTAACCCACAAGCTGACCTTTATGCTACACTTTATCATTATTTTTACAAAGATATCGGTTGTTGCACTATTTAGCACAAGTAAACCAGTTTCTCATATTTCTTTTTTTGGTTAAATTTCAAAATGGCTATTCTTATATATTCATTTTAATCCTAAAAATATAATATTGCTCTAATTTAGATTTTATTTAGGATATTTTTTTTACTACTTTTTAAATCAACAATAAGAAAGTTGTGCCATCTAAAACTTTAGTCCATGGACTTTATAAAATTGATCTCAATTTAGTCTCAAAAAGAATATTTTAAATTAATTTTGTATGATCAATAGACTAAATTAGGATCAATTTTATAGCACAGTTACAGCATGAAAGTATATTTTGAATTAATTTTATACATACGAGGGACTAAGTTGAGGCAACATGAAACACTGAAACTAAGGCTTCGTTTGGGACGGCTTTAAGAAGCAGTAAGAAAGTCGTTCAAAATGAAGTCTAAGGCTTCATTTGGGACAGCTTTTTTACTGCTTTCTAAAACGGAGTTTTAGTACAAAATTTTTTATTCTTGTACTAAAACTCTTTTTTAGAAAGTAATAAAAAAAGCCGTCTTAAACGAAGCCTAAATTAGTCATACATGAATAATCTGGAGGCCATTTTAAAAATTCTCTCTTTTCTTTTCATAAAAGTTAGTATTGTGATTAACTTAAATTTACAGAACTAATGATCAAATGTAAAACTACAAATTCTTCTTTAGTTTCTACCTAGTGGAAGTAAAGGTTAAGTAATAATAAATGAAGGGCCAAAGTGGGTGATTCATCATTGGGCTGCACCTTCTAAGGCAAGCTTGCAGGTAATTGGTGCGTTGGTATACACATGTAACGGCAGTCTTTGTTCCCTATGTACCATGGCAGCCATTATTACTCTCACATTGGAGATATGGACCTAATTTTCATATAAAACAAACTGGTAGCTTCAATATTTAGATGATTTATATGAGGCCAAATTAGGTGGGGACATTTCAATAAAAAATATTTTAAATAGGTTTTAAATTTGTCGGATTTAGTTTAAGATTAGTGCAATATAAAAATAATTTATTTTGTGATTATATAATATATTCATTTTAAAATAAATTTAAAAGTTATATAATTTATCTTGATTAAATTTAAATCAGAATATCCTCTTCTAAGTTTATTTATTTATATTCCACACAGTAGAGCTACATTTCACCTCTAATTTCAGGTTCTCATTAAAACTTTGCCCGTTTAAACTTGAATCTAAGGTCTCGTTTGAGATGGTTTTCTTACTGTTTCTTAAAGCAACTTTTTAGTAGATCGAATAAAAAAAAAATTTATACCAAAAAGCTGCTTTAAGAAATAGAAAGAAAACAGTCCCAAATGAAACCTAAATCTAAATAACAAACTAATAAGAATTGAAGTCCATTTTTTTCTTAATCAACAAGAAGTCAGCACTCAGCCTTCTCCTTCGACTTTTTAACAAACAAATAAGAATAGAAATCATAATGTTAAATTACCAGTCTTTTTTAGCACTCCATATATAATTATTCATTGACTTAACCAAATTAATAAGACGGAGAGGGCCAAAAGATATGATCATAGCTAATGATGTTATTGATTGGAGATAACTTGGTTAATACAATGCCAACAAGAAAATCTTAAGCCCTTCAATACATAGTAAGAAAATGCTACCTAGGATTCAATTAAGATAACTTCGGCTTCATTTGGGACGGCTTTTTTACTGCTTCTTAAAACAATTTTTTAGTACAAAAATTTTAAAATTTTTACTAGAAAGCTGTTTTAAAAAGCAGCAAAAAAGTTGTCCCAAACGAAACTTTAATTTCTTATTGCTTTAATTTCATATTGTAATCATAATTTTTGCTTGATCATTATTTTTTTATTACCTTTAATAAATTTTTGTGCTATGAAGCTACAACAACTTTTAGAAAAGATATTTTCTCCATAATAATTTTATAATTATCTTTATAAATAGTTGAAGTCGTCCAAAATAAAACATAAATCATTCATAAATAAATAAATAAATAAATGAAATTCTAAATCTTCTATTATTTCAAAGTGGAATATGGGGGAAGTAATCCAAAATAAAACATAAATCATTCACAAATAAATAAATAAATGAAATTCTAAATCTTCTATTATTTTAAAGTGGAATATGGGGTGACTTTGTACTTATACCTTATATTTTCTTATATTATTTTGATGATAAATGAGAATTTTTTAACGTAATCGAAGGAAAAAAAAAAGTACTTGTTCACATATTTTCATTTTTAAAAACTATTGATTTATATAAATCTTTAAAATCTTAGGGTTTGTTTGGGATCAATTTTTTTTTTTTCTTAAAAATATATTTGATCTATATTTTCAACTATTTTAATCTTTTACTATTGATAATAAATTACTTATTTTTTTAAAAAATAACTTCTACGCCTTTTTTTTTTTTTTAAATAAAAATCAACCTGTGAACTACATGTCGATCATCTTTGTTGTTGGCTACTATTGCCACCCATCATAACCAACTTCTGCAATATTTAAAACAAAAAATAACAAATACTAAGTATGTTTAAGGTTTCATTTGGGACAACTTTCTAGAGTAATTTTCTAGTACAAAAAATTTTAAACTAAAAATTTTTGTATTATAAAACTGCTTTAGAACGCAGTAAGAAAACTATCACAAACGAAGCCTTAATCTCCTATTAAATATAAATAAAAAATGATCCCCCAATAGAACCCAAAAACCTAATTGCCTACAACTCTGAGGCATTCTCCATGGTTCAAAACTTATTTCAGAAATAAATTTCATTAAGATTACTACTGATCTATACTATCATATGTTGACAAAAGCCTTTCTTTGACATTCTATTAATGCACTAAATGGTCAAAATCATTGACGAAGTTCAGGAAAAGAGAAAAAAAATATTCTTCCTTCAGCGTAAGCGAGGTTTGTATCATAAGCTGTGCTATGTACCAATGCTTTCTTCTTCGCCACCTTGCACAACTTCACTGAGAAGAATAAGGTGGCATACTAATTAAAGAAACCCAGAGAATA